CTGTCTTAGGGCAAAGATCAAGAGTATTTTTCCCGTTCAAACGCGCTCGGCAGCGTTCCTCCCTTTCTGCACGGGGATTAAATAAATCCAACAATAGGCCTGTTCTCTCGTGGTAGAACTCCTGGCTTAGGTGAGTGCCAAGGGAGGGACTGCAGCTCATTAGAAATTCCATTGTGTGTATCCTTTGTGATGTTAATTACCCGTTCCCCGCATGCACCATTGTAACCAAGTCTGTGTACCACACAAACTGTGCACTTTTTGTAACAATTCTTTCATGTTGTTTGTTTCTTTCTGCACACACCATGGAGAGACACACACAGCACCTTGCTCTTGCATTTGGCCATGCAAATAATGTCTCATGGCACCTTGTTTTCATTTTGCAGAGTCTAAAATGTATAACGATTAAAAACATACAAATTTTATTCCATTGTGTTGAATGCTTTAGGAGTAGTTCACAAATATTGCCAATTTTTTTTATCAAGTAGTAAGAATTCTTGCTACACTCGTGTTACAAGCGTGGGGTAGTGCATGCAGTTCTTTTCCAGCCGTTCGAAGAAGTTTCTTCTTTTAGATCATGTGTATGTATGCAGTGTAAAGAATAATCGTTGCATTTTATACAACGTCTAAGAATATGCACGCCAGGCTAGGCCTCGTCGAAAGAGCATGGTGTAGCCCGCACGTGCTGGTCCGGCCTGCCCACAAACGCATAAATGTTAACCAAGCAGTCTGCTTTCATGTTCACAAGCCCCTAGTAAAAGGGTCGGCGTTAATTCTGTGTTCTTTCCAACCGATTATGTGCGGATGCCGACAAGTGTGTTTATTATTTTTAACAAACAATTATCATAAAGTCAAATTTAGCCAAGTCATGGCAAGTCACAAATCGCATTTCATCAAGTCGAGTCCGAAGTCATATTTTCCAAATCAAGTCTCAAGTAAAAATAAAAAAACAAAAATTAGCAACTCAAGTCCGAGTCACTCAAGTCAGTACTGAAAAATTCCATCAACCTTTGGTGGTACCCAAATTAAGGCTATTTTGAGAACAAGTTTTATTATAAATGCACATTGAACTCTACTCTCCTAGACTAAATTTGTTGATCATTAAGGCAAAAATCTAAACTCATCTGCCAACCACATGTTTACATCATTTGCAAGAGATATAGCCCTATCGTAACCATTTTCCGAGACTCCCTTGGGCCAGTGTTTCTTTATAGGATACTAAATGTGAGGTTTCCAGGTCATTCGTCGTCACCACACAGATCTATTGTATTGATTGGGCACCAAGCGTGACCGTTTCTTTGACCTATTGTTGCGCAGTGTCATGTGTGATCCCACGTTCTGAACGGAGCCTGTGCGAATGCAGAAGTACACAGGAATTAAGAACAATGGGCCTGTTCCTCCCGTGCATCCGCATAGGAATGGTAAAAATTCTTTTGATCTTTGCCCTCAGCAGGTGTTCGGATTAAATTAAACTATTTCAGCTTGTCAAACTGAATACTCTTCTGCGCAGTGTAACATGACCAGTGAGTAAAGACATCCAGCGATTTGCTTAACAAATTCATTTACATGAATGCATAGAATGACTTTGCGTCAGTTGTCTCATCTACAACAGAATTCCTTAGCAAAGAGATTTTCTTTTTGTTTGTGTGTCAATTCTAGCAGAAATTTAAACTTGGGCTAAGCCGAGTCTTCTTCAGGGCCTGGTAATTTTTCTACAAGTTCACCAGTAGTACAAAAATCTGCCCTGAGAGCCTGGAAGCTGAACAGAAAAGTTACAATCGTGCCAACATGGAGTGGCCCTGATGAAAACAACTCCCGAAATTCTGACGCACCACACTCATTTCATTGGTGGAGAAATTGTACTTCTCCAGGACTTCGTCCATGAAGGCGTACAGCTTC